GAGGGGATTACATTATTTAACTTGAAACTGAAAGAAGGCGTATTTTGATTAGATAAAAGGAAGAAGTTTTTCTCTGTGAGGGTGATAAAGTGCTGGAACACATTGCCCTGAGAAGCCACAGGTGCCCCATCCCTGGAAACGTTCATAGCCAGGTTGGACTGGGCTTTGAGCACCTAGGTCTAGTGGAAGGTGTCCCTGCCTGTGGCAGGGGGCTGGAAATAGATGTTCTTTAAGGTGCCTATCAACCCAAACCATTCTATGATTCTAGATGGGAAGCTGAAGTAGAAATGGGAGGCAAAGGAAACAGAAACGGAAAGACAGATGCAAAGAAGCAGCGATGGACTTTGCAATGGCAAAGAAGCAGTGATGGGCTGCTCTATAAGATGCATAAGGAAGACCACAAATGCATTATTTAACCCAAACTTTGTAAAAAAAAAAAAACAAAACAAAAACTGTTGAAAATTAAAATTCAGAGTTGATTAAGAAATCCCATCCAAACAAGAGAGCTGAAGGGAGTCACTTGAAATTTAAAGGGTTGAAATAATTACTCTCAAAAGGAGTACAAGGGGATAAAAATTAAACAAGCCTTGATTAATTAAATTTGTTTGTAAGGGAGGGAAAACAGTTTCACACAACTGGTATGTGTCCTACAGTTCACAAAGAAAGAAGAATACTCACAAAAATATTTGTTGTCCAGTCATGAAGCTACACTACCCAGGAAGATGGTTTGCACATCAAATTGGGATACTGTGCAAAAGATGAGGAGATTTTGCTTCTGCATGCAGTAAAATTTCAAGCTTGCCATTGCATTTCTGTGATGGTTGCAAAACAGCTTTACATAAGCAGCTTTTATAATGCTCCGTGCAGATCAATAGCTTTAGGTTGGAATTCTTTTTTCCCCCTAATCTCCTATTACAAGAGTACTTGATTGCAGACAGGAAAGATGCTTCATTGCGTCAGGTACTATCAAAAAATATGAGGAAAGATGGACTTTACCCGGCAGAATACAGAAGATAGATAAAGGGCAAAGGAGAGAAGGTTATTGCAAACCCCTCCATAATACATTTTGGCAACTGTGACACCTAACTCCATATTTATAGCAATTCCCTATCTTGACATCCAGAAATGGGAAGGATAGCAAGTGAAATAGGAGATTTTGCACAGTAAAGCAAACTTAAGTATCGGGCAGCTTTTCAAAACAGCTGTGCTAGGTTTACCAGATTGCATTATGGAAATGTTAGACACCAAAAAATCATGCATTGATGTGTAAATAAGGAAAAAAATGGGGGTGGTAGGCTGGGAAAGAGAATTCCCTCTGGTATTCCTCCTGCCAGAAAACAAAATCAGACAGCTTCCACCCACTAGTCTCTCCTTATCTCCCCTTCAGTTTCCAATGGCTTGCTCTGCAAAATTTCCCCAACTCTAACAAGCCATAAAACCTACTGAGGATTTAAAATTACTGTTAGATTAACAAATTTTGACCCTTTGTCAATATTATCAGGTTGTGTGAACTAAAACTGTTTAGCTGATCTTTAAGCAGATATTTCTAACCATAGCTTTTCTTGCTGTTGTGCAAAAAAGCTCTCGGTGTTGCCATATGGTCTGAAGCAATATCTAGACTTACACTTCCTAGGCCAGTGAGAAAAAAATGTAATAACGAGAGGAGGAGCAAAGAGGCTGTAGGCAAAGTGGCTTCTCCAGAGCTTTGATTGGAGAAGGAAACAGATTTGTTTCCTTTGTACATTAAAACATTCCCACTCCTGATCTTCACATGCTTTTTATTCATGATGGTGTCTAAGAGCTGTGGGTCAGGGTCAGTTGGCCATCTGGATGTCAAAGTGTACATCTTAGTCATAAAACTAGATGCTTTCTTGTGCTCAGGAGTGGTTTTGATATCTCCAGGTGTCATAATTTTGAGAAGAACATTGGACAAACTTTGTCTTACAGCTAAACAGCAACCCTTTAACGAGGCAGAATGAAAACCACTGACTATAAAATAATTGAAACTCAGAGTTTATGTATGAATCACTATTCTGTGGCCAAAATTCCTCTGTGGGTTCATATTTTATTCATCTACTAACCCCTTCCAGATGAAAGGAGGGATGTATACCAACAAAATTAAACATTTCAGAGCTTGAAGGGAAGAGCCAATACCTCTGACTCAATTTCGTCAGACTTCAAACACGCAATGCTGTTTGTCATGCATGGGATTCATTTGCAGAATGCACACAGCAAGCAAAAATCTATACACACAGGACTGGTGCAGGTGATCCAGCGCATCAGAAACATCATAGATAGCAAGCTGATGGCATTGCATACACTTTATGGATGTGAATTAAATAATGTTAAAACAAAGCTGCACAAGCTTGCAGGATAAATTCATGGGAATAACATGTGTTCACATTTCGCACTGGCAGCTGTAGCTTCACTGAAATTCAAGTATCTCCCGCTGCATCAAAATCACTCATAAAGAGGTGCTGGCAGGTGATTTCCCCATGTGTAAATGTCATGTTGCATTAGCAAAATAAAAACTAGAGGGGCATAGTCATGCATCAGATCCTAGATTAGGCAGCTAATCTCTCTAAATAATCTCTTCACAACCTCTGAACAATCCCTATACAATTACAATCACCAGGAGGCAAGGGAGAGAAAAAACTCCACAGGGCGATTCAGAACTGAAGTTTATTCCAGGTGCACTGAGTAGCCCTCCATGGGCTCCTCTCTTCAAGTAAAACAGACTCCCAAAGTGAACTCCTAAGGTTATTTATCTAAAGAAGGATGTAACAATCCCCTCTACCACTTACCAACTTTTTATCCTCTACTTGTTCTCGTGTTTAAAACATGTACTGTCCAAAACCAATTCCAAAAGCCTCAAGCTGAAATAAACTTTGGCTCCTGACACAGCCTGTTCCTTTGGGCAAAGCACGAGTCTGCTGAAGTCAAGTTGTTTCTGGGAATATCCATCCAAAGGGTGGCGGAGGGTATCTCTGAGTCAAAGCCCATTAACTGAAATCACACTGAACAAGCAACATGGATTTACAGACTGCCAGTTCGAGCACTGCTTTGTCCTTCAACTGAAACAGAAAGGAAAAAGAAATCTGAGCAACGTACCAGCCAAGCATTTGCCTGGGACCTTAAGAAAGTAGCCGGCATCCTTTATGTATGAGATAGCATAAGTATTAACAGACTTTGAGAAGTTTTGCAGTGAGATTCATGGAGCTGGCTTAGAAAAAACTGCAACTGAGACAAACAGATTGAAGGGGGACAGCAGGCTAAGGATAAAATAATTATTCGTGCACCTGCTCAAAAGCCTTTTTAGTTTGTGTGCCATTTGGAAAGCATGAGGGTTTGTGCAATTTAATGATGCTATTATGGTTCCAAGCTCAATGTAACCACTCATACGTTACTCCTCCTGAAATATTTAACAATTAATAGAGATAAAAGGCCCTATCACACAACACATTGTGTCAGGATCATGAAGTCAGGAAGGATAAGCTCATACATATCCTTGTTGTTCCATAGAAACCCTTTCTCCATTTAGAATATGCCCACTTTTCCTGCTGTGTTGTCAAATGAAAGCATGAAAAATGAATAACAAGTGGAGCAGGCTCTAGAAAAGCAGCTTCAGCTTGGAGAACAGATATTGTCCCAGTAGATACGCCCCTAGCACAAGGGAAGAGATTTAAGCAGCAGTAGTTTGCAAGAAGAAACAAATAGGCATGCAAATCTCCAAGGAAGAAGAGGCCCCATGTTGCTCTTTTCAGTGAGGTTCCCTTTTATGGAAAAGCCTAAGAAAGTAGAACACAGCCATTTTTTACACTAGTTTGAATAATAGATACTTAACACAAACCCATGGATTCAGAGGAGATTAGACAGATGAAGAAAAAAAAAGAAAAAAGATTCCCAGGAAGTACATAAATACATTAGGAAATGTAGGAAGGTGTGAAGAGGAAGGGTGAGGTGAGAAAGGAAATGCAAATAAGGAAATTTTACAAGCTAAAGCAGTGCTGGTTTAAAACACTACTTTTGTCTCAGAAGGAAAAAAAAATAAGATCACTGGTGATGCATGGCCACAGAACATGAATGAGCCATGGAGCTGTGTTTGCAGCTAATCTCGGGGGGAAAAAAAATACAGAGAAACTGCTATGACTGGTGCAAGTGCAGATTGCTATTTATGTTACCTGAAAAGCCACAACTCCATTCTGCTTCCCATCGAATAAGTAAAGCCACAACCCCATTCTGCTTCCCATTGAATAAGTACATTAGTTAGGAATATGGCTAATTTGACAGAATGTAAACACAAAAGGTAAAGTGTAAGGTGGAGTTGTCTGGAAAGGATGCATTCTACACAAAAAAATGATAATGTCTAGCAGATGACTTTGTGGTTCTACTTTTCAGCTAGGTTTTCTAGGAAAAGGAGGCCTAAGTGCCTGTTAATGTCTGAATGGTTTGTTTGTCAGCTATCCTTCCTTCTCAGGAATATGTTGGCCAATTTCAATCAAACCAGAGAGCTCAAAAGTAATGTCAAAGATACTCCCTTCCCACAGACTGAATCAGCGGGGAGTGTGTGTAAAGGTGATAGAAACATAGAATGGTTTGTGTTGGAAGGGACCTTAAAGCTCATCTAGCTCTAATCCGTTCCCGTGGGCAGGGACACCTTCCACTAGATCAGGCTGCTCAAAGCCCCGTCTAAAAGATGCTGTTAAGGGCCCTAAAGGAGACAGAGGTTTGTTTGCACTGCCGGATCAGCCCTTACTACACACCAGGAAGCTTCGTGGGACAAAATCCCAGACCTCCCCGGTCACCTGGACGCACCTGTGGTTCCTCCTGACGCCCTGCCGGGGAGGACTCTCCTTGGGAGGACGGGAAGGTCCCGCGGCAGACGGCGGGGCGAGAGCTGGTGCACGCACTGCCAAGGGGGTGGGGGGGAGCACAGCCGGGGCCTCGCCCCCTCGCACACCCGCCCTGTCATCTATTCCCTCGGGCAGCAGCGGAGCCCTCCGCCGGGGGCAGCTCTGTGCCTCGGCTGCCCCAGCGGCAGCCCGCCCGGGCCGAAGGGGGGGTGCAGGAAGCGGGCAGGACCCCCTCCTGCGGAAGGACCGCACCGCCCCCACTGCCCCGCGCTGCCCGCAGGTGGCGCTGCCGGCAGCCGCGCTCCGACCCGAAGCCGCCGCCGCAGCCGCGCCGGCTGGGCTAGAGCAGCCCCCCGGCGCCGGCCGCAGCCCCTGGGCCCGCCCGCGGCTGCCTCCGAGGAGCCGTGCCTCCCCCGCCCGCCCTCCCGCCGGGCTCCGCGCCGCCTCCCCCCTATCCGCGGGCAAGCGCGGCGCCGCCGCGGCCGTCCGGTCGCTTTCCGCACTCCGCTTCCCGCGCTCGTTGCTAGCGGTGCGAAGCGGTCCGGAGCGCAGCTCCACAGCCGGCTGGTGCCGCTGCCCCGGCGTGCCCGTCTGCGCGGCGGCGGAGCGGCGCGGGAAGTGGGCGAGCGGCGTGGGGAATGGAGACGCCCGACAGCATCCCCGGGGCCGTGTGACAGCAGCGGCGCTCACACGCGCGCACGCACCAGCCGGCCCGAAGCCGGAGACGGTGCAGAGCCGGGCAGCACCGCCCTGCCCCGTCCCAAGGGAAGCCGGCATGGAGTGAGAGCAGCGTGTGGCCGCCAGGTAAGGAGGGAAGCGTTACCCAGAGGGTAGAGGAGGAATGCGGGATCGGGGCTTGCGTTTTGATGTCTTCACCCTTACGGATCGTTGCCGCCGCGTTTTTTCAGCTTTACCCCCTCCCCAGAAACGCCCTTCCTCAAACCCCCCGGTAGCTACCGCGGCCGTTCCGGGAGACACGGGGCGCGTTACTTATGTAACCGGGGGTCTAGCAGCCTCGGCCGCTTTCCGCTGGGCAAGCGGCGAGGTGGAGCAGTGGCAGATGGGGACACGAAAGGTGCCTGGGCTGGCCCCGAAGCGGCCGTTTCCAGCTGCCGTCGCGGGAGCCTCCCGCCTGGGAGCCCCGGCACCAAGCCATCAGGCAGAGCGCTGCCGCCGCGACGGGGCCGGGACTCCTCCGGGCTCTTCGAGCCTCGGGACTAAACCGCGGGCACCAGCGGGCGGGAGCGACCAGAGACGACGTCCCGCCTGGCCACCCGCTCCCCAGCGGTGCTCCAGCGGCAGTGCCGAAGCCGGGAAGAACTTCAAAGCGGGGTTCGGAGGGAGATGCTCTTTTGGCTGCTTCCGTCTCACTCCACCTCTGGGAGGGCACTGGGGCCCCGCCGCTGCTCGGCAGGGAGTTGAGGTGCCTCCCGGCTGAGGGCTGCCGGGGCCAGGCTGAGAGGAGACTGAGCTAGGTTGAGGGATCGGTGGGGCCCCGGCCCCGATGGGTAGGCAGGGAGAGGAGAGCCTCCGCCGGAGACAGCGGGAACGGAGGGGAGGACGGAATTTCATGAAGGGGTGCCCGTCTCTTCTTGATCGGAGGGAGAGCGAGCTCCGTATCACCATGGCGACCTGAGGGAGGAAAGAGCTAAATAAATAAATAAGTAGGAGATAACTCCCCCCTTTCTCTCTCCCGGCCCCCACCGTTGCCCCTTCCCTGCCAAGTCCGGTCCCAAAGGTGGGGAGCAAGGCACCACAGGCAAAACTTTCCTCTCGTGATAAAATGGGGTGGCGAAGGACCGGGGGGACCGAGATGGGAAGGGGCGGCCCCACCCGGCTTAGCGAACCGCGGTTGCGGGGACCCAGGTGCCCCCGAGTTCCTGTGCTTGCAGGCTTTTGTCCGGTCGCGGCAGGCGGAGGAAGCTGCTTCGGGAAGAGCTCCCCACTGCTACTCCCCGCTGTGTCCGCCATGCCCCCAGCCGCCCGCTGCCCGTTCTCCGGCCCCTCTGCGCACCGCAACCCACGGGCGCTTTGTTTGCGGCCCTGCTTCAGCACCGCGGACAGCGGCAACAGCACCCTGGACAGCGCCGGGGCCGGTGGTCCTGACGGCGGCCAGGGAGCCTGCCAGGGTCTTTGGACTGGGGCCCTGCGCTGGGAGGACCAAGTGCACCCCCCGCTGCTGTTCCCGTGCCAGAAGCGGCTGCCTTTCTCTGCCAGAGCCCGCCTTGAGCACGGTGCTGTTTCCCACTGGGTGCAGGGAGCCAGAGAAAGCCTCACCTCAGGCCACAAAACTTTCCTGAGCCGAATGCATGGAGGAACTGAGAGCAAACATGTTAACAAATGTTAACATCTTTCACATGAACTTGCTCGAGGTTGCTTCTTACGACTCTTTCACACAGGTTGCTTCTTAAGGCTCTTTTGCAGAGGTTCTCTGTAACCTGTTACGGCTGTTTCTCTGGCAGGACTGTTCACATGCACGACATTCATAAAACATGTCCTGCAGAAATTGAAAAATATGTGCTCTCAACTTGTTTTCCTTAAGAAAACTTGTTGAGAAATTGCCCTTGAATAAATTGCACTTTTAGCTCTAAGAAGCTATCCTATTGCTGAGGTGCAAGATTAGAGAGCTGGAGTTTGTGTTGGTCAGACTGACATAATCACCTAATCATTAAAACACCTCCTGTTAAACAACTGTTCTCCTCAGACATTTGGTGACCAGTTTAAAGCACTACACAAGGTGGGGGGGGAAAGTATTCAGGTTAGTGATAATTCACCAAAAGCGAAAGCATTGATAGGTTGTAAATTATTGGCTTAGTTTTCCTATACGTATCTCGTGCTAGTAGTTACATATGCAATTATTGCTTCAGACTACCAAAAAAAAAATCTAGAAAAGCAAACAGCATAATGAATATTCACTGGGGAAGATAGAGATGGATTAGTCACTTTTATGTGTTCACTGTGTCAGGATGTTCTTTTTTTCATTAAGCAAACAAGATTTATTTAATCTTGCCTCAGTCCTGATAGGCAGTAAACTATAGGTACATGTAGAATTATTGGGTTTTGAATCCAAATACCCAGCCTTTTCAGGTTAGGCTTTAACTATAAGCTGTCAAATCACACAAACGATTGTGTTCCTTCTTTGTTATAAATTGTCTGTTTCAAATAAGTCCTAGCTTAGTAGTGGCAACCACATAGGTGAGTCCTATTCAAGCATGGAAGTTTGTCAGGATTTGTGCTTATGCAGGGACTCCAAGCAAATTCATCTCTAAGAATAAAAAGTTGAAGACTTTTTAACTGTAGATCCACATTTCGCCCTAGCTACACTTCTTGACAAGACAAGGGAACCAATGAGTTAAGCCTTTATGGAAATGGAGACCTGAATTTCTTAGTGACAGGCCTCACATTTTCAGACCTATATCATGGGTAGTACGGAAATAAAGGACAGAACTGTAAGTATGGGCTTGGAAACTCGTTACTTTCCTGTGGGAAAATGAGGAGAAGTAATAGAATACAACTCTTCAGGGCATTTGCTAGATCATTTATAATACTTGAAGCTATTGATTGTGTTATATAAGGCAATATTCCTGCAGTGTGAAAATTGTCTTATCAGATAATTACAAAAATATTTAGCTTTATGAGCAACATAAGAAAAAAGTCATAGAAAAATCAACAGAAAATCCCACAATTACAACCTCAATCATTTTAGTAAAAGGCAGATTTTTTTGTACAATTACTGCCAGTGCATTTACATCATGTTCAATATGAGCTTCAAAAGATACATAATTTCACTGCAGAAAATGCTCGTTTTTAATAAACACACATTTGTAGCCTTGTTTTATATTCAGTATTGAAACATGGTGTTTTGGAAGGAAGACAAGATCTCTCCTTCAGAGTATGCAAGAGAAACAGAATTTCATTTATATTTTCATAAAATATCCATTACAAGGGATTTACTGAAATTTTTCACAGATACAAGCTCTAAGTTGTTCTCTCACGTTTAAAATACCAGAAACTCTGGACACTGTTGGTGTAAGGTTACTGAGTTTGTCATGATCTTCTCTTGGTATTTTTACATATACAAGCAGATTTTTATTCAGGAGTTGTTTACATGCTTCTATAAAAGTAAGAAGTAAAAGAATTCATATTAGCATTTTCCCACATAAACTATGTCCCACATAAATTAAGTAATAAGGTTGAAGCATAATAGAGAACACTTTTATATATATATAAATATATATATTTCTTTTCATTGTTGTTAAAAGCTTGGGAGCTCTGTTCAGTGTTTTCCTCACCTGCTTGCTACAGAATGTTGCTTTTTATTTGGGACAACTAGACACTGGCAGTTTTAAAAAAGAGATACAGTTTAGGTTAATGTTTGTTACATTTATGTGGATGTACAATTTTTATTGGTGGAGGCAGTTTGATATTAGCGAACAATAATCCTAGTGTATATTAAGTATCAATATATAAATATTGATCATGCAGAAAAATACTGATGTTTCTTAAACAATGAATGCTAAATTTACCAAACAGTAAACACAAGAAAAAGTGTTTTAATCTCATTCCCACTTGATAGTAAATTCCTGGAAGATTTTTTTTTTTTTTTCCCCCAAAAAAGCCATCAGATGCTTTCCTGGAATGCTATTGCTATTGGAAATACAATTTTATTATACGGGCATTTTGAATAGCTGAAATAAAAGTACATAAAAAAAAAAGGTTACTAACTCCATTTTTCCACACACTCCTGCAATTTTGAATTGTGCCCAAGCATGCTGGCTGTCATGGAAGCTTGAAGCCTTTTGATGGAGCAGTGTTGTGGAGTCCCTGTCAAAAAGACAACCCACAGCAGGCCACCCCTCCCCCCGGGTACTGCAAGAGGTGAATGGGAACAGGCTTGTCAGTGTGGGGGCTGGAGGAGGAAAACTTCTGTAGTGAAAGGTCATGTGCTGAGACTAGAATTTTTCAGTCATATACATTAGTATGGCAGCTGCAAAGGTGCTGTGCTGCAGGTATGAATCATGACCATAAGGAGGCTCAGAGCACCATCCTCATTTAACTCATCACCCATGGCCTGCCTGGCAGAATACCACACAGGGACAAGGAAATATGACAGCTAAGGAAATACATCTTGTTTGCATTTTAAGGTCTCATTAAAATTTATTTTTGCTAGCTAGTAACATGCAGTCTATTCACAAGCTTTTACATACGACCAGCAGAACATCCTGTCTTCAGATAGAGGACAAAAAAGGAGTAAATTTTAAATGTCTTAAAAGATAGACAATTTCTACCAGCAGTTCATGCAAATGGACCCTCAGAATCGCACAATGCCTAGTAATATCAGTGAAAATCTGAATGAGTACAAGGACTGTACACAGTCCTGACTGAAGAATGCTATTTCATGCCATGAGGTTGCTGAAGAAGCTCTAACACAAATGAGCGGAGCCACTAACAGAGGTTTGCTCTACAGTGTTAGTAAAACGATATTTGGATTAAAAAATGGATAAAAGCCCATCGATTCCCTGCTGCTATTTGCCAGTTACAACTTCAGGTCAGACATTAGTAGTAGACCCAGGTCTGAGGTACAGTATGGTATTGCTGATATAAGAATCCAAGACTAGAAATCATACTATTACTATGAGTCTAATCGACAATAAGATCAGAAGTGCCCTCAGAATACACATTGCCCTATCATGATAATAAATATCACCTTAGTATTAGAAAATGAAGGACTCATCAGGCTTGCACTGCTGCAAAATGAATGCAAGTATATGGCTGGAAATGTGAATTCACAATACACACCATTC